ACATTTCAGCAAGACAATGAGCCCAAACACAAAGTCAAGGAAACTCTCAGTTGGTTTCAGAGAAAGAAACTAAAGCATTTATACTTCATTATTTGACACCTGTGAGCAAAACACTATCTAAAAGCCTAAAGTGCCAAAATGCTAATAAGCCATAAGTAGCAATAGGCTTGATAAAAAGCTAAAGTAACAAACCACTAGCTAAAGTTTGTAGGTATGAAAGTATGAAAAATAAAGGTACCAAAAAGCTCACTAAAATTAGCGACTTGCTAGCTAAAAGCAAAAAGTATCAAAAGGTAAAATGATAGCAAAAAGATTATAACAGCACAAAAAGTCAAAACTAGATCCAGTATGCTTAAACAGATTTCAGAGAAAACATTTTTACAGGGAACTGAAATTAACCCTCCGTACTTCTACATGGAAATGCTTGTAATTGAAGTTAAATGTTTTTAAAAAGTAAAACAAAAAGTCAATATCTTTTAAAAGAGCAGAAATTTTTTGTAAATGACAGTTCAACAGAAGTAGTCAGACTGCAAAAAATAAAAAATAAAACAGATAAAAGCCATGTCAGTGCTGAAGGCTCCACAGTTTGTAACCAGCACATCCATGTGGTTTAAAGTGGTTAAATTTATTCCTCATAGTTGGTTTTGCTCATAACACATCCACACTCTTCTACAAGGTCATTGAGGCCAGTTCTTTGGGTAAAAATAGAACTTAAAGCTCCAAGTGCCATTATTTTAATCACTTTCTACCTGTTTCTTTTGATTTGAGTGAAAGTGGTCAGCCATTTGAAGCCCACCGTGGGCATTATTCCCACCTGTGTGTTCGAAGAGGCTTTTTATTCCGGTGAAGTGCCTGTGCAGTGTGCAATCCATCATTTTACACCAATTTTATCAAAGGTGCTGTTGCAGCTGAGTTTAGTCGTGCCGTGATGTTGTCATTTATTGAACAAAACTATTAATTCCTGCTGCTCTCGTTTCGATATGAAGTCTTCTTTATCCTCCAAAGGTGCTGGGAAAAGACAAAAATGACAACAAAAACATTTGTCTGGTTTTGTTGTGATAGCACAGATCCATCACTTCTAAAATGTTTTAATGATCTTTTATAAGGTACAGACTTGTGCAGTAAAAAAAATTAAAAAACACCTCCGCTTCGTATTGTTGGTGAAACTGGTCTTAAAATTGTGTATTGCGAATGTTTTAAAGTGTTAAAATCAGGCTGTTTTTTATTTTTTTTCTTCTTTTTTGTTTTGGATGAGTTGCTCTGAGGCTTTTTGTTTCTGAGTCACAGTTTGACCCTAAAGTAAATTTGCTGAAGCGTTCACTCCTGGGAAGATTGAGAGCTGTCCTGAATGTTTTCTACTTGTCAATAATCTTCCTCTCTGAAGAATGATGGACTCCAAATTGTTTGGACATGGCCTCGTGACCTTTCCCAGATTGATGGGCAGCAACAATTGCCTCTCTGTGAACACTGGCTGAAGTATTTCTTCTTTTATTTTCCTCAGCATTGTGTTAACACACACCTGAATGCTGCAGAGCAACAAACTGATAAAGTTTTTTGATTTTATAGATGTTCCCACGCTTTCCTGATCAGTGGATTTGATTAGCACTGCCTGCCTGTTAAAAAAAAACCTCCCTAATTCCTCTGGAAGCAGTAAGGGTGTAATTAATTTTTCACGCATTGCTTCTGCGTTTCAGCTTGTTTTTATTTTTATTTTTATTTTTTAATAAGTAATGTGATATGTCCAATAGCTATTTATCTGAGGTTTGATTTGTGTAATTTTTGACCTAGTTTAAGTACACAGTATCTGCTTTAGTTTTTCACTTTTACATGAATCTTTAACTGTAGAAGAAGGTTTATGTATTTTATCATGGCTGGATGTACAGTGTTGTTTTTTTTTTGTTGTTGTTTTTGTGTTTTATTGCACAAGGTATCTACTCTATTGTACCTAAACAAAAAGCAAATTAAAAAACCCTTTCTCTTATGGAAAATTCTACAGAGGTGTAAAAACAAAGTACAAATTCTTGGTTACTATTTTGGTTATCACTTGAGTATTTTTAAAGGGTCTTTTTACTTCTACTCCTTACATTTTCAACTTAATTCAATTGTGGTTGGATGAGAGAAGTATAAATACTGTATATCATCCCTACTGGTTTGTATGAGATCCTTTACTTTTATCCTCACACACATTTTGTACTTATTTTATTTTACTCTACTTTACCCATGGTACTTTACCAAACATGTGCAATACACCAAACATTTCTCCTTACAAACTGTACACATTTTTGTTAATATTTCTATTTATTTTTATTGTACATTGTTTATGTGTACATAAGTCTGCTTATTTTGTAATCCTGGGTGTTTATACTAGTGTGCTTATTTCTTTCTTCTCATATTTCTCCGATCTGAACGGTTGCAGCTGTAATATCTGTAATTTCCCTCAGGATCAATAAAGGATTCTGATTCTGATCACACCTGTATGACAAAAATTACGTCAGACTCCAGCAGGAAATATCAAACATATGTAACCATTCAACATTAACATTTTAATATAACATTTTAAAAAATGTTTCTTTAGGGAGATCACCCCCCAATAAATGTAATTTTGGAAATTCTAACTGCTCACTTGTACTTAACACATTTACTTTTTATACTTAAGTACATTTAAATAAGAAATGTTTTTTTTTTATTATTCTTATTATTTTTGCTTAAGTAAAGTAAATATCTGATACCTTAAGATTTTTACTTAAGTAATATTCTCAGAGGAAACTTTGACCACAGTAATTTTATGGCAAGAGACTTTTACTTTCACTCAAATAACTTTGAGGTACTCTGTGGAACACTGAAATTCTGTTTAATAATTATTAATAGTTAGTACTTTATCAGTCACAAAACATACTGTGAAAAGGGCAGAAGTCTTTGTCCAGGCTAGGCTAACTGGGTTTTTCTTTTTGTCTTTTAGGTTTTTTAATGGATGGATGGATGGATGGATGGATGGATGGATGGATGGATGGATGGATGGATGGATGGATGGATGGATGGATGGATGGATGGATGGATAGCATAAAATATTGTTTTACAAACTGAGATCGTTCATCTAGAACAGTTAAGATATTATTGACCATCATTTTTCCACAGAACTGCACTTCACCAGTTCTGAGCTGCTGATTTAATGTTTTAAAAACGTATCTACAGAAATGAAAGTGGTTAACTTAAACTAATTTGAACTTTTGTCCCATGACATACAGAAAATTTAAGAATTGATTTTCTCTTTCTGATTTTAAAGCTCTTGCCAACAGGTTGTGTATTTTTTAATAAAAAACCTAAACTGTTCATGACTTGGTAAATAAATACATATTTGCGTGGGAAAAGCTGAGATTACATTTTGCTGTAAAGTGATTGCTCAAGTAGGGAAAACATATTGGCCTTCAAATACAGCACAAATTAAAAAAAGAGGGGATAAAATCAATGCATTTAATTAACGAGAGTAGTTTTAAATCGTATTTGTTAAAAGCATTTTAGACAGAAATACAAGTGATAAAGTGTGTAGACCACAGCTAGAGTGAAATCTGATGAAAAATGTGATTGTTCCAATTTTACTAAAAGATCTTTTGAGCATTTCCAGACAGATTTGTGATGGTGTCAAACCCTGGAAATATTACAGGATCGATCCAAAAGAAAAAATGATCCAGGACCTACTTTTTCTTTTTGATTTTACCTGGATTACTGAGATGCATCAGGACAATGTAGCATCAATTTTTTTAAACAAATGCTTATTTAATTATTTAATCCAGACCAGGGCGTTCTCATCTGAAGGAGAACAGGAGCCCTGTGAGAAATGTAAGCTTTTTACAGCAGTTCTTAATGAATCACTTTCTGTTCTACAATCATTTTTGACATTTAGAAGTATCAGGGTTTGTCAGGGATTTCAGAGTGAGTATTTAAAAAAAGAAGGTTTTATGCTACTTCGCCAACTTGCAGAGCAGGGAATGTCAAGGTATCCTGTGAAGTTCTGTAAGAAAAAAACAAATCTGTTCTTTTTGAAACTGATTTTGCAAAATTAAACAAAGAACCACTGTTGGGTTTCATCGAACATTAAAATACAAGTGTTTTTGTCATGAAATGACAGGGACTGATGGAAGGCTCAGGCAGGCAGGTTATTAAAAATCTCAAGAGAAATTATGAGCCTGCAGAAACTGTCAGCATTTAAAATATAAATGACAGTCAGCTACTACCATGCCACATTTTAGCTTATTGTCTGTAAAATTCACTGAGGCATTGCCAGGCTGATTAGCTGTGCAGCCAGTTTGAATTGAATTGACTCCAAAAGTTTATCATTTTTTTCAATACAGTTCATGATATTTTTCTAACAAAACAGGCTGACTCTAATTAATTATTGCCACATTTCAAATTCATGCTGAACTACAACTGCAGCAACATTTAGCTAAATATCTGCAAAACAGACTGAGTTTTGGACAATGTGTTTCCTGTGGTCAGTTTTCTACTGCATCCCTAAAGGGATATTAAAGAGAAAATAAATAAAACAAACTTTCTCATGTGCACCAGATAAGTCATAGGATCTTTCTGATTTTTTTTAGGATTAGCTGTGTTTACTGACATAGAAATATGTGACATAATAGAGCTATTGTTCCAGTTTGGGCTGACAAAAATATTGCCAGGTTTGCCTTACATCACTGTTATGTTGTAGAGACACTTAAAACGGACCTTGAAGTTCTGCAGTCGATTTGGGTGCAAAAGGGATACACTAGAAAGAGTAGTCACATTCATAAAAATAACTTTCTGGTGTGAAGGAGAAAGTACACTCAAAATACAGATGGGTTGGGTTGATTGAACCAAGTTAAGCTTTCTGTTCAGTCTGTACATGTCAGACTTCAGGTTCAGCTCAGACCACTGCCACCTTCAGAAGTTCTCGGATGATACAGCCATCACCGGATGCGTATCAGACGGGAATGATGAGTGGTGTCATCAGTGACTTTGCTGGCTGGTGTGAGACCAACGCTCTCCAAATCAATGCCAGCAAGACAAAGGAGATGGTCATAGACCTCAGGAGGAAGTCACCCCCCACAGCATCGGTGAACATCCAGGGAAGACATTGAGACAGTAAGTACCTGGATGTTCAACAACAAGCTGGACTGGACTACAAACACAGACGTCCTGTATAAGAAGGGCCAGAGTCGACTCCATGTACTGAGGAGACTGAGGTCCTTCGGTGTCTGCAGGACTCTGTTAAAGACATTCTATGACACGGTGGAAGCCTCTGCCCTTTTCTATGGAGTGGTCTGCTGGGGGGCTGGATAAAGGGACAGGAACAGGATGGACAAACGGGCGGAGGTCAAGCTCTGTGCTGGGATGTCCTCTGGAGCTTGTGGTAGTGGTGAGAGAGAGGAGGATGTTAGCGAAGCTGACAGCCATCATGGACAACCCCCACCACCCTCTGAATGAAACCATGGGGGGGGGCTGAGCAGCTCCTTCAGTCAGAGACTTAAACATCCTCGCTGCAGGACGGAGCGCTTCCATAGGTCATTCCAACTGCAGTTAGACTGTATAACACATCATGATGTCATCAGTTAGACTGTAGAACACATCATGATGTTATCAGTCACTTAGACAATTCATCTGCACTGGCATCAGTAATATGCACCTTCATATACATTCATTTATTTACTGTACTAGGTACATGTGCATTGTTATATATCACGAGTATAGTGTTTTTGTTTTTCTTTTACTTATCTTTCTTTATTCTTTCTCACCCTCTCCTGTATTGAGCTGCAGTAATGTACAAATTTCCCCACTGTGGGATTAATAAGGTTTTATATCTTATCTTATCTTATCTTATCTTAAAGCAACTTTCACATTTTATTTTACTGATTAAAGCTAATTCAACTCATTTGAGTGAAAATTGTTGACATAACTTCATTAATTAAATCCAACCATCTGGTGCGCATGAGAAAGGTGCGCACAAGAAGCTCTCTGATGCGCACGAGAAAGTAGGCTATTTGGTGCGCGTAAGAAGTTGTCTGGTGCGTAGCCACAAGGAAGTATTTAGTGCGCACAAGAAGGTTTTGTTTGTTTATTTGCGTCAATGTCTTTTTAGGGGATTAGTGGGGGTTTTGATATTGAATTTCACGCCCCAGTTAAAATCCTGGAAGTTCCCGCTGGCGCGCCCTCTCGGTGAACCTCCGCACTTCTCCGGCCCCCCTTCATCGCTTTGACCGTCCCACCACCGCCCGCAGGGGGGCTGATCTGAAGTTGACAAACCGCTGGATGATAGTTTACGGACCGTCCCACGGTGATAGGTCCTTCTGCCTGAAGCAGTGATTTTCTTTGGATGGACTCGCCGACTTTAAATCAGTTTAACTCGCATTTGCTGCTCTTTGGGATATTTAAGCGCTTGATTTTTTATTATTATTATTATTCTGGATCCGTTTGTTACATCCAGAAAGTTTGTTTCCTCTCTTCTTCTTGTTGATGGGACGGTGAAACCAAGATGGACACTACCGGCTGGTTGGACTCAAGATAAGGATTTCGCCCACTAAATGTAGGTTTTTGTTATTTCGTCCACCAAAGAGCGGATGTAACCGAACTGGGCCACTTCCACCGCACAGGTCACAAACCTAGAATGAACATTTTCCCACTGGAGTTTCGCTAAACTTTTCTTTCTTTTCTTTTTCTTTTTTTTCTTTTCCTCCCCACGACTGACTGAAGTGCGTCGCCATGTCGGGAGTGGTCCGCACCCTGAGCCGCTGTCTGCTCCCGGCCGAGGCCAGCCGGGAGCCGGGCGGCAGCAAGGAGCGGAGCCCGCGGAGGGACGCGGCGCAGGAGCGGGAGGCGAGGCGCAGGAGCCGGGAGATAGACGCCATGCTCGCCCGGGAGAGGAGAGCCGTGCGGCGGCTGGTGAAGATCCTCCTGCTCGGGGCCGGAGAGAGCGGAAAGTCCACATTCCTGAAGCAGATGCGCATCATTAACGGGCAAGAGTTTGATCAGAAAGCGCTGCTGGACTTCCGGGACACTATCTATGAAAACATACTGAAGGTAAGATGTTTTGAGGAGCGCACGTGACAAATCCTCAAGGCAACTCATTGAACTTGAAGGGCAGTTTTCAAGAAAACACTTTCAGAAGTTTTCTCATCACTTACACAGGAAACTGGGTAAAAGCATTGGGAAGTTGTCTTTGTTGTGAACTTTGAGCCTGGAAGGGAAGGCAGGGAAGCTTTAATTTAAATTACCCTTTACTGGAAATATATATA